GATTCATATGTTCCAGGAAAGAGATGTACACGGTGTTTTATTTGCTTAGAAAGGGTTGTAGAACCCAATTACTGTCCAGAGGGAATTCCAAATCGAGTCATCTGTCAAGCTATTCGAAATGAGAGCTCATGCGGTAGTGGGTTCGACCTTGGAAAATCGATAAGGAGATCTAAACGGTTACATAAATGGGTCACGGGTTGCAACCTCTAACCGAAGCAGTGTGTTTAGCTTCATGAGTCACGAGATATCACTCACGAAACATCTCCTGTGAATTCGCTCTCTGTGATGTACCGCAACTCTTATCCTCGTTATTGAGATAGTAGTGGGCAAGGCAAACAAGAAGAACATACCGTCACTGGAACTGTCCATCTCTTGTAAGGCTTCTGCTTGCGAAGTATCACATTGCTCCACACCCTGAAGGTACGATTCTCAATCAGAAAACATTGCCTAGTGTAACTAAGATAATGATTAGCAGCAATAGTCAGAGAGATGACTGCTTCCAAAATACTTACTGAGCTCATCTTCCAATAAGGATCAACTAACTGGGCTTTCTCTTAGAAATTATGGTAGAGAGAAGTCCGCGTTCACGAGATGACGACTCGTCCGAATCTGATTCGGGAGAGGATATTTGGCATCACGACGGAACGCAACGTCGTTTCTATGCAGTGTTTTCGAGGAGTACGATTCAGTATCTCGGAGCGAAGGTATCTGTACTAGGGCGGTATGCTACCCTTACCCAAAGGCACGCATCCTCCCCCTTGATGTTACCCACCTAGGGAGGGAAGACAGGGCTCTGCTCTGGGACCCACCATGGAACCACTGGTGCTGCATAGATCCTCTGCTTCTACAGCATTGTACTTCAGGCTGCGTTGTTTTAGGAGTCGAAAATGAACGCAGGGAATGGCCGGTCCTATGACTCAATAGTGTCTTCCCCACCCTGAATAGCATAGAGTGAGGGGAAGGATAGCACACGGGCTTGCAATCATGCGCATAAAAACGTTGTTGGTGCAGCACATGTTCATGGGTGAGGATGACATTGTTAAGCCATACACAATATTCCGGAAGATTTGACGAGCCGTTGAGTTTTTTATTGCCTAATCTTGAAGTCGCCAGATATCCAAAACGTCTGGCCCTATTGCTGTCGCGGTGAATAGGTAAACACCGCTGTTGGTTACGGCGGGTTTTCCGCTGTGAGATCCTCAGTAGTCTTTGTGGCGGACGCTTTCAGCACAAATTATAACCACTCGATACGAACGCGTTCACTGTTGAGGACATCGGACATGCAAAATATGCTGGTTCCGCAACATTGTGAATTATCGACGCCGATGACGAAGACGTATTTCTTTCAAAATACATACGCCTCTGACTTTGGTGCGGGAGTGGTTTGCAAGGACGGAAAGCGACTTTTCCACTTCTTCAAGCGCGAAACTTTCGTTGCAGGAATCTTAGGTCCACCACTGATCAGTAGTGGACCAGGGCTTGTCGCAGCGAAAAAAGTTCCGTGCTGCGAAAAGCTGAAAAGTCGATTCCTGACCGGGTGTGATTAGCTTGGACAGAAGGCGATTTATCCGTTTTTTTTTGCAGCGCGAAATACTTTTCCTGTGGGATCCCCAGATCCCCTCTGATCAGTGTGGACCTGTGGTTCCTGCCCTGAAACTTTCCTAAACTTAGTAAAAAGCTAACCTCAACTGATAATGGCGTGGCTGGACTGCTAGCAGTAGAATCGTCTTCAATATATTCTCCTTCTTCTATTGTATCCGACATGCCGTCATCAGTACCACTGAGGTCTGTCTCATCGATAACCTCGCCGGGTTCTGGACTACCAATGTCGCCACATAACTCTTCCATACCGTCATATACATCAAGGAGATCCGCTTCACTTTCCTCCAAAATTTCCATTTGAAAGCCCAGTTCTTCTTCTATCAAGGATTGCTTGATGGTTGATGGCCGGTCTTCCTTATAAGCTGCAGCGGCAGCTTTTTGGAATGCCAAAACCTGCTCGTATGTGGGAGCTACAGGTATGTGATAAGCAC